TCGGCAACCTGCCAGCGTTATTACTTTCTCATTAAAAAGGGATTTGAACGCCCCGCCCCGGAGCCCAGGTGCCCAGGTGCCCCGGCCCCGGTCCCGGCCCCGGAAGCCGGCGGCCATGGGGCCCCACAGTCTGGAGAAGATGGTGCAGCTGCAGAGGAACCCCGCGAACATCAGGAACATCTGCGTGTTGGCGCACGTGGACCACGGTGAGGAGCCGGGGACCTGTCCTGTCCTGTCCCGGGGCCCGGGGTGCGGGGGCGGGGCTCCGGGTGTCAGCGGCGTGAGGGGCGGGACTTCCTGCCTTTGATGTCCGGGACGCGCATGCGCGCTGAAACTGCAAATCCAGGCAGCTGGCGGGTGGTTTGCAGCAGATCGTGTTGCCTGGTTTTGTCTGTCTGTCGTCTGTCTGTCTGTCTGTCTGTCAGTCAGTCTGTCAGTCTGTCTGTCTATCTATCTATCTATCTATCTATCTATCTTTCATCTATCTATCTATCTATCTATCTATCCTATCTATCTACATTCTGGCGTGTTGCCTTGTTTTATCTATCTATCTATCTAATCTAATCTAATGTGATCTAATCTATTTAAATTTCAGAGAGGAAGGGAGAGGGACAGAGAGAGAAACATCCATGATGAAAGAGAGGATCATGGACCGGCTGCCTCCTGCACGCCCCCCACTGGGGATGAAGCCCGCAACCCGGGCATGTGCCCTTGACCAGAATCGAACCCGGGACCTCCTGGTTCATAGGTCGACGCTCAACCACGGAGCCCCGCCGCCCAAAACTGTTGCCTTGTTTTCTAAATGAGAATTTGAGTTTTCAAACCTCGGGAGTTAGCCCGAGCCGGTGTGGCTCAGTGGATAGAACGACGGCCTGCGGACTGAAAGGTCCCGGGTTCGATTCCAGTCAAGGGCATGGACCTCGGTTGCAGGCCCCTCCCCAGCCTGGCCCTGGTCCGGGCACGTGCATTGATGTGTTTTTCTCACTAGGATGTTTCTCTCTGTCTTTCCCTCTCTCTTCCACTCTCCCTAAAAATCAATGGAAAAATATCCAGGGGTGAGGATTAAAAAATAATAATAGTTATTATTATTATTTAAAATAAAAGATAAATAAAAAATAGATTAAAATTAATACTGTTATTTTAACAGGCAAAACTACCCTGGCCGACTGCCTCATATCCAGCAATGGAATCATCTCCAGCCGCCTGGCAGGCAAGGTATGTAGTTGCAGGGGATAAACACTTTTTGCGTCTCAGCAAGTAGCAGCCATCTATGGTGTGATGAACGTCTGCTGTGGGCTTAGCGATCCTGTAAGCGCCATGCGTCAGGCGATATCCTGGCACAATTGTGGCCGTTTTCCCAGGCGGGTAAGGTGGTTTGAGGGGAAAGCAAAGAAAGCCTCAACCAGGGGGAAAATAACACGGGAAAAGGCTCCTTTGCGAGGTCTGCTTGATGGGAGTGGAATGTTGGCATCTGCACCTCCAGGAGAGAACACGAACTGGTAGAGGGTGTATCAGATGATCGCAGACCTTCAGGGCTCAGCGATGTGCCACAGGACGGCTTCTGCAGCCTGTGGGTCGTGATGGACATCGTGTTTTAGAGAAGGAATTCAAGAGATCTTCGTTTCTGCTGCACTGTGAAAGGACGGGGAATAACTTACTTGCAATACAAAATAGCGTTGTTGCCCTGGCCGGTTTGACTCAGTGGATAGAGCGTTGGCCTGCGGACTCTAGGGTCCTGGGTTCGATTCCGGTCGGGGGCATGTACCTTGGTTGCGGGCGCATCCCCAGTCGGGGGTGTGCGGGAGGCGGCTGATAGATGTTTCTCTCTCATCAGTGTTTCTGACTCTCTATCCCTCTCCCTACCTCTCTGCAAAAAATCAATAAAATATATTTTAAAAAAAAACAAAACAAAAATAACCAAAATAGCGATCGATGTTCCTCACCTTAATGAGTTTAGAATATAACCAACAGGATGTGTCAGGTGACTGGGAACAGAGAGAAGGGGAGATGGAGAACCGAAATAGAATAAAAAAAGTACACATAGAAGACTGAAAGAAGAAATGTACACGTCTATCTATGTAAAAGCCTAAGCCCCCTTTACAACCGGTGGACCGGTAGCTATGACGACGCACTACCAGGGGGCAGACGCTCAGCACAGGAGCTGCCCCCTGGTGGTCAGTGCGCTCCCACAGCCAACCTCCCGCGGTTCCTTCCCTGGCCCGCAGGCCCCGATAAACCCCAATCGCTGTCCAGGCTGAGGGACCTCACCTGTGCACGAATTTGTGCACCAGGCCTCTAGTCTATAATAATAAAAGCATAATATGCTAATTAGACCTGATGTCCTTCCGGATGACCTTCCAGACGAAGCTGGGGCTGCGAGGGAAGCCTGGGTCCCAGGTGCCAGAAGGAAGCCAGTGCCCACAGCCAGGGTAAGGAAGGCCTAGGCTTAAATGAATTTTGGGCATCAGGCCTCTAGTATAGAATAACAAGAGAATGAGACTTTTTGGAGGAAGGCCTGCCTTTCTTTTTTTAAATATATTTTTAATTTCAGAGAGGAAGGGAGAGGGAGAGGGCGATGGAAACATCAGTGATGAGAGGGAATCTCGGATTGGCTGCCTCTTACAGTCTGCAGCCCAGGTGAGTGCCCTTGACCAGTATTGAACCCGGGACCCATCAGTCTGCAGGCCGACCACGCTCTGTCCACTGAGCCACACCGGCCAGGGCTGGAGGAAGGCCTTTCTGAGCAGTTGGAGAGGTGAAGAGGAGCCGGGGTGGGACCTAGGGAGAGGCAGCAGGAAACCAGGAGATGGGAGACCCCTGGGAGAACTTTACGCATGTGCAGAGCGCATGCACGTGCAGAGCGCACGCACGTGCAGAGCGCACATATGTGCAGAGCGCACACACGTGCAGAGCGCACAAGAGTAACTCACTCAGGTGTGTCTAATGCCCTGACCAAGAAGAGTGAGGGCTGACAAGGTTGGTGTGTTGGGCCAGAGGTCATTGGTAGCTTTTAAGCGTTTGTTTTGCCAGAAGCTATGGGACCTGAAGCTTTTCTGGAAATTAAAGACGGAATGCGGGATGAAGCCATGTGGCAACCCCATGACAACAAGTTACTCTCGAGGCTTCTGAAGGAAAGAAATGAGGAAATCTAACGGGTGAAGAAGTGCCCTCACCAGTCTGGCTCAGTGGGCAGAGCATCAGCCCAGGTTCTGAAGGGTCCCGGGTTCGATTCTGGTGAAAGGCACATGCCTCACTTGCAGGCTCGGTCCCCAGCCCTGGTCCGGGTGCGTGTGGGAGGCAACCCATCAATGTGTCTCTCTCACATCGATGTTTTTCTCTCTATCCCCTCTCCTCCACTCTCTCTAAAAATCAATGGGGAAAAACATGCTCCGGTGAGGATTAACAACAACAACAACGAAAAGGATGAAGTGTTAAAAAGTGTGACAGTGGAGAGAAGTAGGTCAGGGCGGGGAATAGACCGTCCTGCAGCGGGTGGAGGCGGGTAGCGAGGTGCTCAGGGCTGGGCTGGCGAGAGGCGTCCTCCGGTCCATTGAAGCCACCGTCAGTACGAAGCTCTGTAGCGCCCCGGGAACGAGATGCAGGCCCTGTCTGTGGCGTTTACACTTTATGAAAGCCACCAGCTAAATAAATGGCCATGTTAGAAACGTCTTCTACCTTCTCATCCTCCTCCTGTTGTTTTTGGTTAATCCTCACACCCGGGGATATTTTCCCATTGATTTTTAGAGAGAGTGGAAGGGAGAGGGAGAGAAAGAGAGAAACATCCATGTGAGAGAGACTGGTTGATTGGTTGCCTCTCACTTGGCGGCCCCAACGGGGCCAGGGATTGAGCCTGCAACTGAGGTACAAGCCCTTGATGGGAATCAAACTGGGTGAGACCCATCAGTCCACAGGCCAGTGCTCTATCCACTGAGCAACATGGGCTAGGGCTACCCTACCATTCTTTTTTATTTTTCTTTATTGATTTCAGAGAGGAAGGAAGCAGGGGGCAGAGATAGAAACATCAATGATGAAAGAATCATGGATTGGCTGCCTCCTGCATGCCCCCCACTTGGATCAAGCCCACAACCCAGGCCTGTGCCCTTGGCCGGATTCGAACCTGGGACCCTTCAGTCCACAGGCCGACGCTCTATCCACTGAACCACACTGGCCAGGGCCTTATTATTCTTTAAAATCTAATTTAGGGAAAGGAGTGAAGGCGTCCCTGGCTTCCAGAGACTCCTTGGACTCTC